CTATCTATCTATCTATCTATCTATCTATCTATCTATCTATCTATCTAACTTTTTTTCCTTTGTTAAGCGAAGCACTACAGCTGTTAAGCTAGCAACATGATTCTTAAGTGAATCTGGCTTCCCCATTGATTTGGGCTGTCGGGCGGTCGCAAAAGGAGACCACACGGCCCAGAGGCACTGCAGCTGTCATAAATACGAGTCAGTTGTCGGGCATCTGGATTTTGATCACACGACCACAGGGGTATGCAATGGTTGTTAAGTCTGAAAAAATGGTCATAAGCCAATTTTTTTCAGTCCTGTTGTCACTAAAGAAACTGTTGTAAGTTGAGGACTACCCATAATAGAGTTGGAAGGGACCTTGGAGGTCTTCTAGTCTGACCCCCTGCTAAAGCAGGGAATCCTATACCAGGGGACTCCAACCTTAGTTGCTAAGGGTGGAGACCCCTGCCCTATTCCATTCCAGACAAATTCCAGTCCAATTCCTTCTTTAAAAATTGCAGTGTTGGAGCAGCCACAACTTCTAGTGGCAAAGAGTTCCACTGGTTCGTTGTTCTGACTGTCAGGAAATTTCTCCTTAGAAACGTCTTCTGACAATAGAGTAGTAATTAATAAAGATGACAAATTCCTCGGGAGAGAAAAACCACCGAAGAAATTTCATTTATAATTGGAAGTCCTCTGTGGATTTTTTTTTTTATTTTTGCAAGGGATGGAGAAACATCCAATTTTGACATGTGGATGTAATGACTGTTGAAATTTAACCAGGACACCAAAAAAAAAAAAAAAAGAACTTTTCTTTTAATTTCCCCTTTTTCTTTCTTTTTTTGGTGGCGGGGGGAGGGAGAAATGGATGTTAGACTCGTAAATGTTCCCTAGTGCGTGATTCAAAGAAGTCAGAGGTTATTGTAACCTAGTTTTGTTTTTCTTTCTTTTTCTTTGTACCTTTTTTGCACTTTGATCCCCGGTGTGTGTTTTTTTCCCACTCTTTATCTTTTCTCTTGTTGGTTTATGTTGTTGTTTTTAATGTGTACGCTTTGCGAAATGTAATAAAATCATTTGATTTAAAAAACAACCACATGAAGAAGAAGAAGAAATGACCTTTTCCAAGCATATCCTAGTCTAGACGTGGCTCCTTCTCTATCCAAAGCTTTTAACCCAAATCTGGAAAAATAAAGAGAGTATTCATGAATGCTAACTATTCAAAGCTTTATGCTAGCTTTATTCCATACTTCTTCAAGCTGGTGCCCACAAAGACCTCCTCTCTTTCTCTTGTCAATCCATAGAGACCTGCATTTCTTTAAAGATTCTATTATTACTCAAAGACGCAAAGCAAAGCAAAATATTCTTTTTTACAGTAAAGTTGATTACTGCCCCTCCACACAAACACAAACACAACTGTCATATTTGCACAGGACTGAACTCACATTTATTATTATTAATCATATTAATAATTAATATTATTATTAACTCCTTATAAAATGCATTAGTGCATTTTATATTCTCATCCGATCCTTGGCTACAGCAGTCCTCAATTTAACAACTATTCGTTGAGGGACCGTTTTTGAGTTACAACGGCACAGAAAAAGCGACTTACGGCCATTTTTCACGCTTACAACTGCGGCTCTGGTCACGTGATTTAAAATTTAGACCACTTGGCAACTGGTTCCTATTTTTGACGGGTGCGTTTTCCCGGGGGGGGGGGGGTGTCATGTGATCCCCTTTTGCGACCTTCGGGCAAGCAAAGTCAATGCGGAGGCCCGATTCATTTAGTGACCGGGTTCCTAAATTAAGAACTGCAGCGATTCACGTCACCCAACGGGGGCAAAACATTTAGCAACAAAAATGTACGGCTCAATTTTGGTGGCAAGCTGAGGATTACCAGTATATTTGGATTCCGGAACTCACCGTGCCATTGTGTCTTTTAGGAATAGTCCAGGAGTTGTATATTTTTAAACAAACAAACACTCAGTGGTGGAAAGGAATCAGGACACCATCATCATCATCAATAGATTTCTATTTCTATTATACGCAAAAATGACAGTGTACACACCCAGCAGAGTTAACTTGTTTGCTGTATACACTGTCATTTTTGGGCATAATAGAAATAGAACGACTATGGCAAAGGCAAGCAAAGGTAGCACTACCAATAGTAATAGGCACCTTGGCACAGTCTCAAAACAACTGGAGCACCCCTTGAAGACCATAATTGGCATTGACAAATTTGCCACCGGTCAATTGCAGAAGGCAGCTTTACTCGGAACAGATTCCATCCTGCGGCGATATCTGTAATACCACCCAACATCCAGATTTGCCTCTCCCAGGTCCTTGGTAAGGACCCGATAGGTAGACAAAAAATGCCAAACCCGGTCTGAACATCTGGCTGAACAATAATCATAATCTGTTTTTAAGTTAACCTTGGATCTTGATGTTCAAGTTGGTAGAACGAAGTACAAAGAGCGTGTAAGGATGCTCCAGGTTCTTAATCCTCCCCTCCCCCACCCCAAAGAAGGAGGGATTTAGATCATCCTGCAACCCCAAGGCTAGATTTCCCAGAATGGGATCGGGGATTTCCCCCCCCCCCCCCCCCGCAGAGGCAGGGAAGGAAACGCACTCTGCACACGTTCAGAGGCCCTCTTTCTTTCCTTACCTTCCCATCCCCATCCCGCTTTAAACCCTGCAAAACAACCCGCTTCCCAGTCCGAGCCCCGAAAGAGGCCAACCCGCAGCTTTCTTTCCCGGAACCGGTTTGGATCCAGAGTTCCTTTTTCCCGGGCGGCGCCTTCCAGCCGTGCTTACTCGCGAGTAAAAGCCCTCCCACCTGTGAATCCGGCTAGGTGGGGCGGAGGAGGGGAAGGGAAGGGAGATGGGCAAGAAAAGTGGGGGAGAGAAGTGGGAGGGGGGACAAAAAAGTGGGAGGGGGGCAAGAAAAGTGGGAGAGAGAAGTGGGAGGGAGGACGAAAAAGTGGGAGGGGGGACAAGAAAAGTGGGAGGGGGGTCAAGAAAGTGGGATGGGGCAAAAATGTGGGAGGGGGCAAGAAAAGTGGGAGAGAGAAATGGGAGGGGGACAAGAAAAGTGGGAGGGGGCAGGAAAATTGGGAGGGGGCAAGAAAAGTGGGAGGGGGGTCAAGAAAAGTGGGAGGGGGACAAGAAAAGTGGAAGGGGGGTCAAGAAAAGTGGGATGTCGCAAAAATGTGGGAGGGGGCAAGAAAAGTGGGAGAGAGAAATGGGAGGGGGGACAAAAAAGTGGGAGGGGGCAGGAAAATTGGGAGGGGGCAAGAAAAGTGGGAGAGAGAAATGGGAGGGGGGACAAAAAAGTGGGAGGGGGGCAGGAAAATTGGGAGGGGGCAAGAAAAGTGGGAGAGAAGTGGGAGGGGCGACAAGAAAAGTGGGAGGGGGGCAAAAAAGTGGGAGAGAGAAGTGGGAGGGGGGTCAAGAAAAGTGGGAGGGGGACAGGAGAAGTGGGAGGGGGCAGGAAAGGTGGAGGGAGGACAAAAAAGTGGGAGGGAAGGGGAGGGGGAGCCCCCCCCGCGGCTGCTCCTTTCTTCCCCCGCGGCCAAAGCCCGGGACGAGACAATGCCGCCCTCCCCTCCCCCCACCCGCGACGGCGCAGAGCGAGGAGAGCCCCCTCCCCCTCCCGGAGGCGGCGGGGGGGGGGCGGGGGGCGCGCGGGGAGCGTCCCTTTTCCTGCAGACCCGCAAAGCGGCCGGATCCCGCCCGTTTCCCACGGCCTCGCCTGAGCCGGGCGGCCGCCGGGGCCGAAGTGGCGGGTCGCGGGGTGGGGTCGGGGGGGGGGGGGGAGAGAGAAAGGTGTCGAGCTCCGGACGGGGAGCGGCTCACCTGGACCTGCTCGGCCTTGTGGCTCGCCCTGCGGGGCCCTCGGAGGCCGCTGGCGGGGCTTCCTGTGGCAGGCAGCGCCTCTCGGGGAAGGGCTGGACCGAAAGGGGGGCGGTGGAAGCAGGAACCCGCCCCGTTCGCATGTTCCGGATCTCTCTTTCCCCGCCGCCGCTGCTTGGACGGCCCTCCGCCCGCTCGCTCGCTCGCTGCCTTCTGCTTCTCCTCGCAACCGCTGCAAAAGCCGCCCGCCCGCCCGGGATGCCGAGGCCGGCCACGTCGGAATGCCACGGGGGCAGCCCGGCTGGCGGGCAGCAGCGTCGGGAAGGGCCCGTCTAGACACGGGTGGGCGAAGGGAGGGCGAGCGGGGCGGAGGGCGATGGGGGGGGGTCCGGGGAGGGGAAATGGAGCGAGCCAGACCAGGTGGAGCTGACCGTCGGTGCCGCTCCAGCCTCCCCATCGGCTGAGCCGCGAGGTCCTGACTTAACCTCTTTTTTCTTCTTCTTCTTCTTTTTCCTACTGGGGCGCCAGAAAATAACCAAATTGTTTTGGGTTAGCTGGGATCAGGAGATAGAGAGGGAGGGAGGGAAAGATTAGATGGATGGATGGATGGATGGATGGATGGATAGATAGATAGATAGATTGATTGATTGATTGATTGATTTTGATTGATAGATAGATATAGAAAGGTAGAGAGATTAGATAGATGGATGGATGGATGATAGAAAAAGAAAGAAGGAAGAAAAGAAAGAGAAAGAAAGAAAGAAAGAAAGAAAGAAAGAAAGAA